CCTGAATGATCTGAAGATAATAAAATTTCTCCCTCGATCAAAACACATTTAAGTAAAATTCATGGCAAACAACTCAATGTTTTTACATTTTGAGACTGCATTTAAGAATAAAATTGCTTCCTTTGAATAGGACATAATACCTGCCAACTCTCCAGACAAAGGAGAATCTAAGGAGTTTCTAGAAAAAGAGATTTGAGGGTAGGAGACAAGCATCACATTATTATTAAAGAGTACAGACAAAAAAATATTGTCAACCAAATACAGGAAACTTGGAAATAAACGCCCTTGTATTTTGTTAATACAAAGATATCACTGAATCAAAGCTTGACTTCTCAGTCTGAAGACAGTTAACTGATGAAAGCAGAGGTTATGAAAAACTGTAATCAAGTTACATAAAAGTGTACATGGAAAAGTGGTTAATAGGGTATTAAACACTTGGGAGAGGGAGGTTGGGATTGAAGGCTCAGACTAAAAAACTGAAAATATAAAAATTTTGACCCCCCCCGACCTTATATGCAGTGCAACGCTTGGAAAAGAGAAACACAGCTACAGCCAGGAGGGCAAAAACAAAACCACATTACTGCAGGCAGCCGCAGAGGATGACTACTACTACTACTCTAAATTTTATCCTCAAATCTTATGACAGTAAGTTGCGAAGTGTTTTTCCTCTCCACATCTCTCAGACAATTGGGATTTAAGGACCCAGTTATTTTTCTGATGTCAGGGACTACGAGTTAAGGCCTGGAACACCGTAAAACATTTATGTCAGAGAGGCTTTCATTCCATCCTACGGTGGGACTACAGAAGGACCTCATCAGAAGTAAATCCTTCTCTTTGATAACACAGTGCACGATCATGTCAAACAACATCACTGACATTTGAAATTCAACCTCTCCCACATCCATCGCTCCCTGTAACCTGCTCAGCAGAACCACCTGCTTGGAAGAGCATATTTCACTAGATCTTCCAATGAATCCGTGCCAGAAAGAGATATACACACTCAAAACTGAAACTTAAAAATATGTAACAATTAAAGATCCCATAACACCTTCACATACTATTCCTTGGCTGGAAATAAAGCTCAGTAAGTAGCATTTATCATTTTTATTGACAACACAAAATAGCTTCGTGTAGTAGAGACACACTGAATGGAACCATCTGCTTTCATGCAAACTCTCACATAGTATGAGTTACATGCAAACACAACACCTAACAGAAAGACTATGAGTACAGAAAAACATCTAACTTCTCATTCATAAATGTGTCTAGATCCTATTTAGAATAAAATCATTTAGTACCTGAGTCTATGAAAAGACACAGTTGTGTTAAACTATGAGAACCCCAAAGCCAAACTACCACCTTGAGAAATGCTTTAGCCTTACCAGTTTGCACTCAACGTTTCCATTTTTGCAGAGACTGACTGCAGAAATAGCATCCAAACAATTTTAATTTGTGACCCTTTAACAGAAATAATTTCTTAGACAAGTTTTTATATTCCATCCCATGTTCTTCCAAGGAAGACCTACCCAAAAATACTTCACATGAAAAACTAAATGTTCCCAGTGACAACTCTGATCACATCATTTTTTTTGCACATGAACATGAAAAGACGCAACAACAGCAAAACACACTAGTTATTCTTACAACTTCAAGACTAAATCCTAAATATAGTTATGTTTTCAAGTTGTCTTTCCTGAAATTCAAATAATATATTCACTGCTTTAACCAAAAGCTAGCAAAGTACAACTTGTATTGTGCTGCAGGCCATAAAGTGAATGTTCTTTATTTGAATCACGGATGGATGAAGATGAAAAGTAGTTTCTAAAAATTTGCAACAGCTCTGACACTACTGTGTATTCCTCATCACAAGTTATCCCTATCTATTTATTGGGCTTACTCCAGACTGTTTACTACTTTCAAAAAGATAATTTTCATCAATTTGCCATCAACCACAGGAAACTGCACAGAATATGGCCAGAAGCCCTGGCTGAAAAAAAGGGCGCAGGGGTAAAAGAGAAGAATTGTTGCTGCTGCTTCAGTCAGGGTGGAGGGGCTGTGCTTTAAAAGTAGCATTTGGTAGTGAATTTTGTCTTTAGCACAGCATTCAGGTGGTATTTTATTATCACCCACCTATCTTAAGTAATCATTCCATGCCTACAACGTGACCACAGGTACATTATTTTATTGCAGTGTAAACACCAGCCTTTAACAAATCCACGACATCTGACTGAAACTACCTCTAGAAGCCATCACAACTGCAAACCCTGCCTACCCCTATGAGCAACGAATCTTCTGCACAGCACCTGAAAGGGCAAGGAGAGCCCTACAACTGATTCCAGAGCTTCCCAGACGATCGCAGGACCCTAAGACAGAGGTGAAAATGTAGATACGCTGTCACCACATGCAACACAGTCTTGCAGGAGCAAGAGCTGATGGAGCCCTGACCTTCCTACAAGCTGCCATAGTTCAAACTTACAAGTAGGGCAACACCAGACATAAGTGACTGCTGCTGTTTTCAAAGACTTGATACTTTAAAGGCTAAAGCCCCTGTTGCTAGCAAAGCCCTTTGCTAAGATTTTTTTCTCTTCTTTCTTCAGATACCATTTGCTGTGGCATAACAAAAGCTTCCAACTTAGGTGATTCTTCAAAGGACTCTAGGAAACACCTGGAGATGTTGCAAGATGCTGGACACCAAGAGAAGGGTATGAAATGCCTACGCTGCAACAAAGATGATCTGAAATCCTATGTCCAAGCTTGGACATGCAATTAGTGTCCCAGAACTAGAAACACCAGAGCCTTTTAGCTTGAAATCATACAGAAATTACCAGCAGACTCCCTTGTGAGATGTCATCCTTACCAAAGGCATCCAGTTAAATGACAAAGCAAGCATGGACTTTGCTGGCAACTCTCAGAACTCCCTAAATACTCCCCCATGCACTCACACCACGTGCAGTCTAAAACACCATCAATAAAACCTGTATATAACAACATTCCACTGATTCTTCCAATTCTTTTTTTTTGCATATATGATGCACATGTACAAAGATTTTACTTGCGTATACAAAAACTCAGTAAAATAAAGCTAAAACAACATGAGCTGCAACACAGGATTTTTTTTGAACTACAAGGAAGAATCAAACCAGTATTTCTGTGATTTGCTTTCCCACTATTTAAAATGGTTTCTGTACACCTTTGTTAAATAAGCTGAGTAACAGTTAACTTATCACAACATTTTTTTTTCAAACACTTACCACTACACACTGCTGATAAAGAAGGTTTCATCCTAGAACCACTAAAACTTTTCCTCTCAAAGCAAGACAGAAGCAGAGGCTTAGTCACTATTCACGTAACAGAATCACAGAAGTTTTCAGAGCAGTTTACAAAAAATTTAAAAAAATGTATTATTTCTCAAAGCAAAACAATACATTTGGAAGATGTTTGCTCTCAGTACTGAGTAACACTTGTCATACACCTGAAGGGGTTCCTTAAGCAAGTCAAATCTACCCAGCAACTCTGATCAAACCAGCTTCACCCATGTTAAAAAAATGGAAAGCAAGAAATAAAGGTAGATTCTTAACGTACCAACAGTTTCTTCTGATTTCACAAAGAGGGCATCAAAAGAATAAACACTGAAAATCTTGGTCATCCATTAAGGCAATTCTTACACCCAAACAATTTGATAACGTAACATTGTGTATCCAAGCCAGTTTTTCCATAAATTATGATCTAAACAGAATAGTAGTCAATTCACCAAAAGATATCAAAGATATCCCTTTATTACAAATGATCCAAGTATCTCCCTTGAGGCTATGGCTATCAGAAAACATTTAGTTAGCTCCCAAGCCAATACTTTTCGTATCTGTTTTATTATGAAACTGTAACACATTTCCAATAACTTTTAGCTTTCTTATACAGAGCAACAAATAATTTCCCAGAACCCTTTGGAAAAATCTGACATGCGAAATTATTCTCTAGTCAACTTGTGTATTAAGCTGAAAAAAAAAAAGGTATATCAGATCATTCGATCATTGGATGGAATGGGAAAGTATTGGAAGGTTCAGGACAGATGGACCAACTTCAGGTCATATAAAATACTACCAAGGCTGTATTTGAAGAAAAATGTGAAAGTTCGTGAAAAGCGCCCTGGGTGAAAAAATACTTTGTGTTGCTAAGAAACATCATCCCTGATGATGGATGAATTAAATTGTCTCAGTTAGTAGAGCCAACTCCAGGCATCCCTCGTTTATTAGTAGAATGTTTTCTCGTATTGGTAATTTATTTCAACAGCTACATACAAATAAAAAAAGCCCTACCTTTAAATAAATCTGAGAATTTCAAACTTGCATAATTAATGCTAGAAAACAGAACAGGGTTCATATCTTGAACAGAATTTAATAACTACATTTTCAAAGTTTACATTTTAAAATGTAATATTAATACATCCAAACGATTAAGAACTTATTTTAAGATAGTCTGCCATGAAATATACAGTTCAACTTCCAAAATTACTCTATATACAATCCAGTGAAGAATAAAACTCTTCAAGTATTTCTGAGGACTGAACAACATAAATATTCAGGTAATCAAATTTTAAACATCACTGAGAGAAAAGCATATTCATTTGTCATGTACTGTTATGATGACACCAACATAAAAACTAAGCATGGAGGAAATAATGCAAAACACCTGCTTTTCTCATTTGGAGGTTGTCTTCATGTTTCACCCAGTTTCTCCTTTAATATATTACTCACAGGCTGTTTCTTCTGCAGAATGTATTTGTGAACTTACAGCAGTGCATCTTTCCATTTCTGAAGGATGTTTTCTGTCGAACCCCCACAGACCATACCTGCTTTGCCTGCCGCACACTGTGTTAAGTGAAGTCCTTTCAAAAACGTTACAGCTGGAGCAGAGGAAGGCCACCGGCTCGCCTCTTCCCAAAGGCTGCACGAGGGGCCAGAGGAGCTCTCCTGAAAGGGGAAAGAAAAGCAAGCACATCTCACCTGGCACAGCCTTCGAGAGCAGGGTGAAACAGCAGAGGGGAAGCACAGCAAGCAGGGAGCCCCGACGTAAGCAGGAGAGTCCTGAGATCAGAAAGGAGACATATGACTGCTGCTCAGAGATGATGGAAAAGGGCAGAGTTTTCTTAACAACTCAGAGAGGAATATGCAGAATTTTATGCCACACAGAAACAAGCAGAGTTGCTGTATGGAGAATAAACCAAGGGCAAAGACCGACTGTGCAAGAACACAGTTGGCAAAGGGAGAATCATTAAAGAAAATTAATTTGAATTTGTCTGAAGGCAAGGCTTTGGGATTTTCCTTCTTATTATTCTAGATTGTGTTCTAATGAAGATTCTGAGCTAGAAGTCCCAAGTTCTAGCAGTGGAAAGCTCAATTTAAGGAAAAAGGTGAAAAACCCTCTACAAACTGGTCTTTGGATCCCGTCACAGCTTCCAAGTCAGAAAGTACTATGCACATAGAATCTTCTTCCCAAATAACACCACCACGGAGAGGAGTTACCACTGGAGAGTCTGGGAAGAAGTATTTAATAATGATACCAATTTGGCTGCGCTATAGGAGATGTGCTTCCTGTGGGCCAAATGGGGAAGAGCTTTGCAATCTAAGCAGAAGCATTTCAAAACCTCAAAGGACATGTCTTATCTGCACCACTTCTGCTTCTGGAATCCCAGAAATCCTGAAGACAGAAGGCAGATCAGACTGCAGCTTTCCTTGGCACAGATGCTGCAATCACATCTGCCTTAACCGTAAGGCACGGTCCTTGCTACTTTCCAACTCCCCAGCAGCATCTCTTAGTTGCTTCGGTTTTTTGGAAAGGCCAGCACAGAGGATAAAATAAAAAGTGTTTCTGATCGCATCAGATACACTAAAACACTAACATGAAAGAAAAATGCCTGCAGATTATGTTCCAAGCAAATAGCATGAAAGAAAATGTTTTCAAGTAGACATACCCTTTCTTCCCCTCCTCCCTTGCCTACATGATTCACAAAATAACATTTACATCAAATACTGAGATCTGCCTGATCAAAGATTATTTTTTTTTAAGTCTTGATCTAGCAGCCATGAAGAATGACCACTTGTGTAGAGATACATATCAAGTTACTCAGCCACAGAAACATGTGCACACATATTTATCCAATTAATTACAGGTGATTTTTACACACCACTCCAAGGAACTGAACCACCATCAACCCAGGTGTGCAGATCCATGTAAATGTCCCCCAAGATTTTTTCTTTTATCTCACTAAAGATTCCCTCCCTAAACACCTATAGCTACAACGTCTCAACGTAATTTGCCATGTTCCCCAGTACAAGAAATTCCCAAGCAAAGAACCTTGAAGACAATGAAGGGGTCACAGCCATCCTGCAACCCAAAGGTTGGGTCTGCATCAAGGTACAGGCTGCAGGACTCCAACCTCTTGGCCCTCACATCATAATGCAGACAGCATTGTCAGTGCAGGATTATTTAATGTTTTCATTTATTGCTTGGATGACAAACAATACAGTTGCAAAATTTTGCACTCACCTGTGAAGGGCTGCAAGCATTCTGAGAAGCAGAGACAGAATTGAAAAAAGTAGGACTAAGTGATTAACAGAACTGAAATTGGGGTTTTAATACTGAGTTGAAGGCAAAAAGTGAAAAATTAATTTGAAATTGTATTAACAGGAGCATCACTTGCAAAAGATGGTAAGATTTATTCAATTCATCCCCGATGCTGACTGATTAAGGTTGTACATTATGTTCAGGCCTGGATACACAGATGTAGGAAACTGAGAAAAGCTCAGAAGAAAACCTAAGCGATCAGAGTAAGTTAAAGGGAAACGGGCTTGTTGAGTACAGAAAAAAAGTGAGTAAAGAAAGAGGGTGCAGGCTTCAAAACAGGTTAACAGCAGTTAGAAAAGTTACTATCATGTCCCATTACTGCAATATCCACAGCAGAAAAAAAAGCAAACAACAAAATAAGAAGCATAACGGGTTAAGAAAAAAACCAGAATAGTATTAGAGGAAATATGCTACCTCTAGGGATAGTTAAACAATGGATTAGGTTATGGAGGGGTTACACAAATCTTCAGTGATTGGTTTTAAGACCTGGTAAGATGAACATGTTCAGAAACGATCTGTACATACCTATCTGGCTTTACAATGAACACTATATGCTCATGCATACAGTACAGGGCCTTAGTGTAGAGTGGATGGCCTCCAGAGATCTGAGTTTTCTTTTCTAAACCTAAAGGCTGTATGAGTTTAGGCTCCTGCCAGGCAAATCAGCAGGTGACTTGACTGCTCCTTAGAGCTCCAAGCAGGCTTTTGATATCTCTTTTTTCTAAATAGCCAAGGCAGTCTGTGATTGACAATTTTCTATCACATCAAGCATGCTACCTTAAATATGAAGTACTCTGAATGATCCACTGGGGAAATAAAGTCAGAGTACAGAAAAGGCAACAGCAACTGATCCCCAAAATCCAGTCCCGAGAAGGAAATCGAAACTGCCAAACTGCGCAAGGACGCACATCCCACCAGTACCTAGAAATACAGGTAGTTATTTTTGTTTCTAACACCTACAATAAATAAGCCTTAATAAAAAGAAGTATTTAATAAAGTACTTAGAGAAATAAGGATGGAAGGTTTGACGTGTCTAAGCTTATTTTCACAGCGGTATGAAAGGAAATGAGGTAGAGTCAGAGCTAATTCTCCTTATATAATTTCACATGGAATGATTAGTTCTGCCCCAACAGTAACAGCTTTCCAGAGGGTCCTACTTGTCGCCAAGATTGCATACAGATGCTGTAAGTGTAGCTTCCCTATTCTCCACTGACAACCAACTTAAAAGGCCAATATAATATTCATTTTACTATAGAATGAAATTCACAGCATGAATAGTAAAATAATGTCACAGCTACCATGAAACTGCAGTTGCATGTTGGGGGTTGTGACTTTTAAAAGTTTAATCATGAAACAGATTCATAAAGAGGCACATGCAAAGCAGCTTTCTGCTTCAGCAATGTCCTGTGGTCGTTAGGGTTGTCTAAGCACGGCATAAGCTGTGGGCTCACAACAAGAGGGCAAAGGCACCAAGGAGCATTCGTGTCACATGCCCCTGCTGATTTTTTTTTTATTTTTTTTTTAGACGGCAGGTTTTCAATCATTACTGTGCTGAATGCCTCTCCTCTCTTAAGCCTGATTAGGAAAGACATTCCACATGCACGGGGCTGCTGAAGGTGGTGGAATTCCATAAATCACCTGGGTCGCTTCTGGGTGAAATACCAATTACTGGCAATTCATCTCAAGGAGGCCAACAAAAAAAGCCCCACAAGAAACACCACTCAGCCCAACAGTGAACATATCACATGGATAATCCTAAAACTCTTTGCAAAAACTTGTAATGGGTATTAGTACTTTTATAAAGCACTGTTTTGTATTTAATCCTTGAATAGACACTAACAGAAAAGCCATATTCAATTCCAAGATTGCTACTGCAAGTTCCAGATCAGCTTCTACTATTTCTTTTTAAAAATATGCTGTTTTTTAAAGGATATATAATAATACACATCTTTCCAGGGAGAGATAGCCTACCTTAGCATATTTAACTATCAACGAAAAACCTAAACAGCTCCCTGGAACAGCATGTCAAATAATATTATGAGAACTTGAAATGTGTATATTTTGCACTTATTAGCACAACCATTTGTTTTACAAAAGACCTACAGATTAAATACAAAGCATGCTATTAGTTTTAGGCACAAGAACGACCAATTTTTTACGCCTTGCCAGAAATAATGAATAATTAGGCCAGCACCACCCTACAGTCATTTCCATAAATCCTGCCTTTAGATTGAAACCACAACAAAAAAGAAAACTGACTTAATGATAACAAAAAGCTTATTTCTTGTTAAAGTTTTCTTAAAGCAAGATCAGGACAAGAAATTATTCTTCAAAGCCAATAAGATATTACCGTTTATTTGAAGAAGTTTAATTTATCTCAAGCCACAAAGTTATTACTCAGAAACTCACTCCATTGAACTGCAACCCAGTAGACAGACGAGGTGAACTGCAAAACTTTCACCCGGGAAATCTCAAATCACAGACGTTCACAGAATACTCTGCAAAGTCATCTTACAGCATATTCCTTGCATTAACCTCAACAACAACCAGAATATAAAAGATGCAGTTTGTTCAATTACTGTGGAATTTTTGTTGTCTGGGATATTTGTATGTAAAGTAAATATCAAAGCAGAAGGTTATATAGGAAATAAGACACTGAGCATCAGATGAAATGAGGATCCGTACTTCAATTAAGATTTTAGTTTTTAAATTATGGAAAATATGGTGCTTCTCAGAAAGTACTTGTTTAATTATATGCACCAGGCAAGATACTTATAAAAAACACCTTGTTTTCACAACGCAACATGGACTTCATTCCTGTTTTATTTACAAAGGTGTCACCTGGTAAATAAAGCACAATGAAAACAAAAATCAAGATCTACACTGTCAAATAATCCAGGATAATGTCATTCACACAACTCTGGCTTTTTTTTTTTCTCCCAAACCTATCTGACGGGAAAAAACAGGAAAAGGGCGATATTTTTCTATGAGTTTTTCCTAGAAATGGAGCTATCTTCACTGTTCTTTCTCTCAAATACTCTGCCACTACAGCCACATGCCATCATTGCTCTAGCTGATCACTCCATTCTGAGTTTTCAGCATTCCCAAATGTTTACTCTTGCACTCACACGAAGTTCTGTGATACTCTGGAAAGTCTTTTACATAATGGCTTTGTAACAGTTCTGTTTCTATTACATACATTTTCTTAGGCTTTAGGAAGACGAACCAAAAACCTCAGTTCTCTGAAGGAGAAACTTTCTTTTTGTCTTTTCAGACTGAGAAAAATACCAAACGGCAACAGCAAGGTCTCCATCCTTCATTCCAACACACCTGAGTACTGAATTCTGCCAGGGTGAGTAATGCCTGTTATGGAACATCAATTCAGTAAATCTTCCATCCCAGAGAAGGAATAGAAGACCACATCATATTAAAAATGAATGCAACTACTTATGCGGGAATTTAAGTTGTGTGGGGTTGGGTTTTTCCCTCCATAACAGCTTCTAATAATGACTGTGACAGAAATCTTATACTCTGGGTAGTGTTTTATTCATCAGGCCCACGATTGCCACAAGTTTTCTTTGACCAGAGCATGGTCAAAGTAACCTCAGGACCACTTTTGTATGTCCAAGAAGAAAACATTCCCACAGTATTTACGGCATTAACACAGACAACCTGTTGCACACACATGGCATCTGACTGCCCAGAAAGAATCTTGGAACAAAACTGGAAAACAGCATGAGAAGTCACACTGATCACACTGTTGCACAGACACAACAAGTAAAGATGCTTACAGGT